AAGTAAATAGTAAGAAGACCAAGCGCCAACAGCAATCAGTCTTGGAATTCACAATGAAGATACTGAAGTGATGGATGGCTTCTGCCTTTCAGGATTGCAAACTAGGACATGGTACAGCAGTAATAAAGATTTTGGAAAAGATACTCAGATTTTGTGACATGTTTATTCCCACAAATTTTACAATCACATAGGCAATGTTTTTCCCCCATGATACTTTATGAAAGTGAAAGTAAGATAACAAAGAGTATTAACACTTTTGCCTTTGGCATTAAAGAAGGGCCTTGAGAATATCATGGAGAACCCCCCCCCAAAAAAAACCCCTCCTAAACAAATGGATTACTAATAAAATAAATCAATCCAGATTTGCTTTTGATTATGGGGATATATTTGGTTTTCCAGAAGAGTAAATCGAATGCCTTTGGACACATGAGAAGACCTTGCTCTCTTGAGAAGTCTATAATACTGGGAAAAGTGAAGGGAATGGAAACAGGATAACCAGCATGTGTGGCTAACAAACACTACAATTTTCATTCATGCCTTGAACAGAATACTTAAAAAACTGTAATAGGCTTCTTTAGTCCCCTTTAAGACAATTGTATTTATGCAAAATTAGCTGCATAATGTTGCCTTGTGCCTTATTCTAAATAATGTTTAGTAGCTTGTATAGTTATATGGATCTGCAGCAGGGGTGGGTTCTAAAATTTTTTACTACCGGTTCTGTGGGTGTGGCTTATTTTGTGGGTGTAGCTTGATGGTCATGTGACAATTCTTTAGGATTTAGCAGAGGTACTGGTCTACCAGGCTTTTAATTGCTTGCAGAGCTGTACCGGTCTACTCATTTGTTTTTGGAGGCACCAGTCTACCCATTTGTTTTTGGAGGCACTGATCTACCCATTTATTTTTGCAGGCACCGGTCTACTCATTTGTTTTTGGAGGCACCGGTCTACTCATTTGTTTTTGGAGGCATTGGCCTACCCATTTATTTGTGCAGGCACTGGTCTACCCATTTGTTTTTGGAGGCACCGGTCTACTCATTTGTTTTTGGAGGCACCGGTCTACTCATTTGTTTTTGGAGGCACTGGTCTACCCATTTATTTTTGCAGGCACCAGTCTACTCATTTGTTTTTGGAGGCACAGGTCTACCACCACACTGCCTTTTAACACTGATCAGCTGTAGGGCGGCCCTTTGAAGCCCCATGGCAAGAGTTTAAACAGTTTTTTTCCTTCTAGCCAATCAGCTGGGACTCAGGAGGCAGCAATAGATTGGGGGTGGGGCCAAATAAAAGGTAAGAATAATGCAGGGGGGGCGTGGGGGGAGCAGAACTGGTTCGGTGATATCATATCGTCACCGCTACCAGCTCTGCGGAACCAGGTGGAACCGGGAGGAACCCACCACTGATCTGCAGTTGACAGTAAGTACAATTTCAATTTTTTTATCAGTTACTGAAATTTAGAATGGTATGGTTTTATTCAAAATAATGTAATCTTAAAGTATCATTTCTAAAACAGGAAGCTTTCTTTTAACATATACCCAGAATTTAACATACACTACGTCACAACTGAGACCACAAAAACAGAAACAGCCACTAAATAAATCCTTTTCAACAAACTATCTATAATGTTGATAGAGTGATTATGTCCTAAATAACACACACTGCAAACATATAGTGCAAGTGCTATAAGTACTAAAATCTAATATATTACTGACCAGAACTGATGTAACTGAGCTGACATAACCCAATTTATCATTAGTGTCTTTTGAATGAACCAGAGTTGCCACTAGTGTGTAGCTTTCACTTGCTAAGAGATCTGAGTCATGGTTCCACAGATTATAGGGAAGTTGTCCTATATGCCAGAATAATATACTCCCTTTCCTTAGCAAACTCCTTCAATACCTAGCCATGTCTTCTTTTAATGGAGCATTATTCTAATAGAGGTTATGTTCCATCACCTACTGTAGCATTCAAAAATGCTTCTTCCCCAACCTTATGCCTATGGTATAATACCATGCTGAACATAGGTAATATTCTGGGAACAAAGGATATACTGAATCTTTAATCTTGAATTTGGGAGTGTGTCTCACAAAATGAATGTTCTGCTGCAGCAAGAACAGAGAAAATGACTGCATGTCACATTATCACAATAGCAGAGAGAAGGGAAACATTTTCAAGAAATGACCTGTATGGATGAAGCAAGAGTTCTAACTATACAGCCATTATCTTATAATAAAATATTAACTGAATGGTAGTAGGACAAAGAGGAGAGATTCCTGAAATGAAAGTTGAACTGTCACTATATTCAGTTTGTTTATGTATAATTGGGTGATTCTTGGCTTAAATCTAATTTCTTAGCTTTGTATTTTAAGGCTAAGATGAATGAGCCCAATTAGCTGAATCTCTGAGGGAAAGAAAAAGTCCAGTATAATGAAAGAAAATAATATAAGAGGCTTACAAAACAGGAAATATTATAGCGGGTTATAAATAAAATTATAATCTAGTAGGAACAATTGCTGATGGCACTGGAGATAAAGAAGCACTTCCTATTTCTAGAATAATAGGAATTCTGCAGCATGGAGTAAAATGGTTCATTGAAATACTGTGCTCTGTAGCACTAAAAAAGTTACAGCATGACAGCTGTTGTACATGGGAAGGCAACAAATGCTATGTGACCGGAGATGACTGGCATGACATGTGCATCTTATGCAATCATGTTCACAGCTATCTTAAAAATATTCTGTGGAAAAGTTTCTTTGATTATAATGGTACCAAAACCATCAAACTTGCCCATAAAACATTATAGTAGCACAGAAATATTATTTATTGAAGAAACAATCTACAAAATGGTTATATCCCAAAATAGTAAAGCATTGTGAGGTACTGCATTTTCAGCAACTCAATGATTTGTTATAATCCTCCAGAGATAACCCCTAGAAAATGTCCTTTTCTTTCTTAAGTGATGTTTTTGAACTGGCTTTCCTTGCTTCAGAGCGCTCTTCCCATGGAGGCAATGAGAGTAGCATAATTAAGAGCCAATTACATTTATCTTGACATAATGCCTTTGACAAGCTGGTTTAGTAGGGAATAACTAGGCTGCTATTCTGATTCTTTTTTTTTCTGAATGGCTGGACAGAAGAATGAAGCAAATGAATTAAGTGCCAAAAGCTAAGCTACTATTCAAGTTTGAATCTAGCTTTTGCTCTATGTACCCTAAGAAGTATTTTTCTGTTTTTAACTCTACTCAAAACATTCTGCCAGAGCATTCTAAATTATCTGTGTTCCAATAAAATTTGAATGCCTCACATTTTCTGCGTTCTGATAAGAGAAAATTTGAAATGTTTTGAATATATCAGGCATAAAAATTTTGGGGAGCTTGGGACAAATATGCTCACTTTTCCCCACAAACCCATGGCTAAATGAATAATTTAAAAACATTGCTTCTGCTATTTCCAATAGGGATTTTAATTTTTTAAAAAATATGCCCATTTTTTACATAGATTATTTCCCAGATAGCAGTTAATATAGACTATCACCTTATCTCATTCAAGCAACAAGCGTTTTCCAATCCATCTGCCTTATAGAAATAAGCTGAACAAAAAGTTCTTTGCTAGACGTGTATGCCTATTTATGTTTTTGCAAAAACAAAACTCCTTCTTAATTCTTGTTTTATAAAACCTTTTATAAAACCTAAATATATATATTTGCAGCTGCAGTAATAAATGCATTTATCACACATACTGTATATAACTGGGCAAAGTATAGTCATATCATAAAAATAGAAATTAAAACGGTATACTATAAAAATTGTAAAATGACAGAGCCTATAGACTAAAAGGCCCATACTATATAAACAAATCAACATAAATCAGTAAAAATGTAACACTGTTCCACCAATGAACAAAACATGTATTTAAATAACAATACTAAACCGTTTGCAACCTGTTAGCAGTGTGTAATTAGGGGCTATTCCCATCCTAGCCAAAGGCCTGGGAGAAAAGCCAGGTCTTCAATGAAATGCCAGCAGCGTGAGAGCTTATATTTTTATCTTTGTATAGTTTTTATTTTTGTACGATTGTAAGCTGACCAGAGTTACTCTGAGGTAAGATGGGTGGCCAATAAATAATTTATTTTATAAATACATCAATCAATCAATCAATCAATCAATCTCAGGGGGAACCTCATTCCAGAGGACAGGTGCTGCTCCAGAGAACACTTCTGGAGTCTCAATAGATAATATTATATACTCACTCCATTGGATCTAAAGCAACAGCAGTATGGACATCACTGCTGTTATATTAGCTAGCATATACTTAAAACAAACATCATAAAAATGTTGAGCAAGATGCAGCTTCAGGACTAAACATAAAGATAGTCCTTCATAAACAGTCTCTCATAGGTAGTACTGTAGTTATTTAAATTTGAGATTATGAGTACATGAACCCCTCTAGTTTGTTTCCAACCATGAAAGCATAATAACCCACCTGAAGCTGGTAATACTATAGGGACTACTCATGGAAGTCATTGAGGCGGTATAATCCCATTTAGTGCACATAATTCCATTTATCAGCTTTGCTTCTCAAGATTCAGTTGCAGTTTATGGGCCCTTAGCCACCATATCACTGTACAGTATAAAGACAATGATCCAAGATATGCGTATTTTGATTAAATGATATGAAAAAGTACACTTAACTTTAAAGTTCCTGAAGACCTTCCCCAATGATTTTATATGTAAGTAACATTGGGACTAAAGCAGTACATTCCACAATTTATAGCCAGGGTGTAAAAACATGGCATACTTTTTCATAATCTGCTCCTAACTTTAATTATTTTACATAAACACAGTAATATAGGTTCACTTCATAGAGTTGGCAACACAAATATGTATGAAGTCTCAAAATGATAAATATGATTATGTGAAACAGAGAGAATGAGAATGAGAGAATGAATTATTTAAAAAAGTATACAGGAGCATGTTGCCTACCAGTTGCATTCTTTGAAATTTACCTGTCATGTGTCCTCATGAAATCCCAAAGTTTTGAAATACCATTCTGAAAAAAAGGCATAATAAATAAGTAATATGTTATATTAATGTTCAATCTGTTCCCATGCAAATCAAACTGTCAACTTTCAAGTACATTTTTAGTTATAAATGACACAGTTATTTTGGAAGCCTCTCTAAATTTCCTACTTCTGATGAAAACGTTGCATACCAGTATATGCTAATTAGCTGATGAAAAAAGCCAGGTTTTATGGGTGCATCTATGCATTTTTCTTGGCAGTAATGTGGAAGTGGTTTTCCCATTGTCTTCTTGGAATATTTTTTTTCAACAGTTCAATCTGGAGTGCACTCCTGAGATTTCCCATCATTATACGATATCAAACCTTTCTCTACTTTAGCCATGACCAACTATGCATTGCTACTGAGTTAAGTCTAAATATGGTAGCAATTGCTGTTATATTAGATAACTGTTTAAAGTCTTTCCTAGAAAGTGGGCACAGGACGTATGCTTTGACATACAACTGACTCTGGCCTTCTAATAGTCAAATAATTCACATTGGCTAAGATAATTTATAGTTCTTTCCATGTCAGTGGACAGATAGGATCTTTGGCAGTTCATCTTAACACTGTTATTAGGCTTGAAACAAGAAAACAATTACACAGGTGGACCTCAAGACAGTAACATATTGATAAGGAAGAACTTAAAGGTCAAAGCCAACTCTTTCCAACCACTCGTGCTAATGTTAAGTTCAAATCTGTTTCTCCTCATCCAGCCCCCTACTGTTTCCAGACACCAAGAAAAAAATCTCAACAATATCATTTGGTTTGGAAAGAGATCTATAACTAATATCAGCATACAGTATTGAGAATGCGCCACCCCTTACTGACCCATTGGTTTCATGTAGATGTGAAACAGGAGTGGGGAGAGCATTGAGTTCTGAGAAACTCTACACTGGTCCCCATCAACACCAAGTGAAACTGACCCTGGGAGAAGGAAGAAAACCATTGAATTATTTTGGCTCCCCCACTTATAATTTTTTGAACTGATCCAGAAAAATATCACAATGAACCATACTGAAAGCCATCAACAGATGAAGCATAGCACCCATCCTATTCCTGCCCTAGATTATCCACAAGAATGATCAATTGCTATCTCAGTCTCATACCCGTGTTTCCCCAAAAATAAGACCCTGTCTTATATTTTTTTGAACCCCAAATAATCATTTGGCCTTATTTTCAGGGAGGTCTTCTTATTTTGGGACGCGTGGAGCAAGATGGGGCTCCTCTTGCCATCTTACCTGATTTCCAGCTCTGCGTTTAAATATTTTTGGGGAGGGCTTATTTTCGGAGGGAGGCTTATTTAAGTGCATGCACTCAAAAGCCCGATTGGGCTTATTATCAGGGGATGTCTTATTTTTGGGAAACAGGGTATCTAGACATGAAACTTGACTGAGAGGGGTACAGATAATCTTCAAATTAGAAAGGGATCTATAACTGCCCATATTTCAGGGATTTTTTTATAGTTAGTAAACAGTTGTGGAGTACCTCCTTTTAAAAAATGATTAATTGGTATAATGTTGTCCAGTTTAATAGCTTTCTCTATTTTACGTTATGTTGTTGTGGATTGAAATGAAAAATATTCTTTTTGTCTTTGCTACTAATGTAATGAAATTCAGATCAGCTTTGTGCAGTTAAGTTTCTATTGTGCCAAATACCGACTTCACGCTGATAGTCCAGTATGAAGGCTGCTAATTATTAATAGCAAGCAAACAGTTACCAATGGTTATATGGCTCTGTGTACTTTACAGCACATTAAATCTAACGTACTTATGGTGATTTTATCAGGTAATACACAAAATGACAATGATTTATCTTCTATTCAACAAACTCATATGTTTATAAAATAACGAAGACATAACAAATGGGGAATCAACTTGGTCCTTCAAGGCTTCTCTTCATTGCCCCAGATCAGTAACCATCAAAATGTTTACCATGCAGACATTCGCAATAGTAAGGTGGGGGCTCCGCTACCGCTCCTATTGCTATTCTTGTCAAAAGACTGAGGAATGTTTTTCTAGTGTCTCATATATACAGATAAAGTTAGTAGCAAAAGCAAACACTATTAACTCTGCAGTGCTAGCTCTACACAAAAATGTCCCATTAGAAACTGCTTGAATGCTGACATTTGTCAAGTAAAAGAAAGAATTCTCACAGAAGAAACCTATTTATGTATTTTTAAATATTCAGTCACCAAACAGATCTAGGCATTCCTGACAAGGACATGGAAGTCTGTGTTCTCAATACAGATAATCCTTGACTTACAAACATTCATTTAGTGACCATTTGAAATTACAATGGCACTGAAAAAAGTGACTTATGACATTTTTCTCTTGACCCTTGCAGTGTTTCCATGGTTACGTGATCAAAACGTGGATGCTTGGCAACTGGTATGTATTTACAGTAGCAGTATCCCGGGGTCATGTGAATACCCTTTGCGAACCTCTGACAAGCTATATTCCAAACATAGAGCAATTATTTGGGGCAGGATGGGGAAATCACTTTCCTATTAGTTATGGACAACATTTGCATCTCAGGTAATATAGTTAGGAAGGAACTGATATGCTGAAAAGCTGCCTTTAGTTAGCCAAATATACTAATGATATGACTCCATGCAAGGCACTTTCAAATGTTATAATGAAATTATCCTCCCTCTCTATACTATCCCGCATAATAATTGAATTGTTGAGCATAAATAACAAAAACACATTGAGGAATAGATTATGTGCCTAAGGGCAGAATGAAATGCTTAATAGTTTCTTAAATCTTACACTATCCTGGTTTTATTAGCTAAAACATTATTTTGTTTAACTGTTTTCTATTTTAGCTAATGAAAACTAATTTCAGATCCAGTGTAGTTTGCAAAGCAGAACTAACTTGGATGTTCTAATTTGATTGAGGCTTTTTCTTTTTTTGCCAGCTGCACTGTTGATGCCAGTTTCTGTCATGTACCATCAATAGCTAACACAACAAGTGACTATGGCAATGCCCCTGAACGCTTTGTACCTCTAGGTCAATGTGAACTTGATGGAGTTCATTTGTGCACATTTTTCCCTGCATGCTTTCCCCTCTGTATTGTTTAATTACATAAGCTTGGGAAGAATTTTCAGATCTTTCAGCTGTCTTCTTGTAAATAAAATAATGAGAAAGAAAAAAACCTCCAAAGTTTCACCTTCACTGCTACCACTTAAAACATTGTTATTTAAAGAGTAATATAAACTCGAAGGGAAAGGCTGAATCTTTGTCCACTCAGTGCAAGTGGAATGAAGCCGAGGTCCCACTTTGAACCGCCATGCTCCCTGGGCCTGGGAAGTTGAACGTCGGCTGGGCTAAATTCCAACCCAGCAGGATGGAGTGTGGGGAAACCTGGGCGGTGGGTCCCACACTTAGCTGGCCAAATCTTTCAGGTAGCCCAGCAAGAGATTGGCTTTGTGAAGGTGGAGGAAGCCCCCACTCCCTGGACTCGCTGAGCTCCAGGGGCTTCATTGTCCTCTACTCAAAGGCTGCTATGTGCTCAGGATGGCTTAATATTCTGGGTGGCAATTGGGTCATCACCGCAGATTCCAGTCCTAGTGTGGCTGCTGATCCAAGTTCCCCACCTGTCAGGACCAGGCAGGTCTGTTGGGATTGTCCCAGTGATGGCTCCTTGGCTGGGCACCGGAGCACCTCCGGAGTTTGCCCTCAGCTGCTTCAGCTTCCACAGTTGCTGATGGGTAGCAGATGGCCCCACAAACATCCTCGGAAACGGACCCAGTGGCCCCCTCAGGGGTTGCTGTCCTTTGTTCTATCTTTGCTGAGTCTTTGCACTCCCTGGTAGATCAGGGTACGGCCGGAGCTCATGATCCTGGACAGTGGCACCGCTTTGCGGTAAGTTGCTGGTTTTTTTTTTTCCAGATTCGGGTTAATATCAGCGTTCCAACAAACTCCTCATAGTAATTCAGAATTCTGAGACAAAGTCCATCAAAGTAAGATTTTATTAGAGGAAGTCATATTGGCACATCTGGAGAAAACCCGAATCTGAAATCCCGCGTTTTCCTCCACCCACACTAAAACTCTCACCCTGCCCTGTCCAGTGACATTCACATTACATGGCCCAATCATTCCCATCTCCGCTGCCGTCAAACTTCGGTCACTCCCTTCCAGGTGCCAGCAGCCCAACCTTGATCTCATGTGAAAAAATGTTCACTGTTTACTCCCTTCACTGTTATGTTATGACTACTCCCTCCCATTCCCACTATGACAGCCCTGTAAAGTCTGACCAAAGATGGATCCAGGGCTAACATTAGTTATTTAGTTTTTTAGAGTTCCTATTAATGATTTAGTATCATTTTTACTACTCTAATGTGGTTTACTTAAATTTCTGATTCAGACCCCATGTCAGAAATGGAAATAAAACCCTATCTTTATAATGGTAAAAATTGTGAAACCAAACCAAAACACTACTATTGAACCCTTTTCTAGAAAGTTCCATAAAAATAATCTCAGTATCTCAGCAGTTACCTAGTTTCCACATTCAAAGCCAGCTATAAATAAGTATAACAATGGACTCAGACTTCAATCTGCATCCAAATTTCAACTGACCAATCTAAACAAAATATAATAAACCATAAACTTGAGAATAACAATTTCTTCTCATGCAATCATCTGATAGGTGTACACTTCCAAGCCATTTAATTTTAACTGACAATATCCTTTCACTCTTTATATAAACTTTTGTAAGTTTTATATTTGACAAGCAATTATAAAGAAAACACATCATTTAAGGTTATGGTTTTATAGTTTATTCTTATTATAAGGTATTTTTTTGTCCACCATTAGGAGGTAAAACAAACATTTCTGAACATGTTTTCTTTGCTCATTCATCTATTAATGTGATACCACAATATCACAGCTAAGGCCACTGTGTTAATTCAGCTATGAAACTTACTAAATGAGTTTGGACCAGTCAGTAACTCTTAGTCTAACTCTCTCTTATAGTATTCAACATGCAAA